AAATGCCTAGATCTAGACCAAAGCTACCATTAGAAAATACTGTTTGGGGGCATGAAGCTGGTTGGTCTTTGTCCCCAATAAATTCTTTGCTACTACAGGCTTTCTGATTCCCCAGAGAAAATAGCTACATGAGGGTACTCATGTCATATGGCTGCTATGACACATTACCACAAACGGGGTGGCTTAACACAACAGGAATTCATTCTGTCTCAGTTCTGGGGACCAGATGTCTGAAATCAAGGGGACAGCAGGGCCTGCTCCCTCCAAAGGGGAATTCTTTAGGGGAGAATCCTTCCTGCCTCTTCCAGCTTCCGGTGGCCTCAGGATTTCCCTGGCGTGTGGCCACATCACTCCAATCTCTGTGGTCACAGACTCTCACTCTTACTAGGGTTTGTGTCAAACCTCTGCCTCTTATGAGGATACTTGCGATGGCATGCAAGTCACTGACAATTCAGGGTAATCTCTTCATCTCAAAATCCTTAATTTAATCTTAACTACAAAGACACGTTTTCCAAATAAGGTCCCATTTCCCAATTCCAGAGATTATGACTTGATATCTTCAGGTAGCCATTATTTGGCCTACTACAGTGAGTAGCCTAGGATACGAACTAGACCTTCCATCCCCTCAATACTCTTGGGCTGTCATAACATAAAGGCATAAACCCTTCTTAGTAGATTTGCCTAAGTTTAGTCAACAAACGGACGTGAAGCAGAGGCCAGATACTGGAGTTATTAAATAACACAGGACCTGGTTTGTACACTCAAGAGACCACAGCTAGTGGACGGTAGCACCTACCTAAAAATGAGTATTTAATTCACCATGACCTTTGGGTCAGCACAGCTGTCATTATTTTTACATCCTCAAGTTGTCAATCTACACATAGGTTTACAAATTTTAATAAGTTATGCACTAAAATCCTTCTGGCCACGCAAGTGAGGCGATTATGCCCCCAAAGAGCATGGCCAGACGATGAATGGGGCCCACTCCAGTGCTTCCCCACTGTTTACCGTGTGTTGTGCTTCCGTGGGCCAACATGGGGATTCTGACGTGTACGTTTTTGAAGGAACAGTAGTTGAACTGGGACATGAACTTGACAAATGCAATGCTTCCAAAGAAAAGGAAAGGAAGGGGAGCTGAAGGCATTCGCAGTTTTACACTCAGAACAGGTGTATGGTTGTACCTGTTTGTGCAGGAATACTGAGGAGCTGTGTGTCAGAGTCAGGGTTAGGGACAATGGCACACGAACATCGGAATGGGCCTCGCGTAGTCTGGGGCTCAAACACTGGCCCTTTGCTACGGGCTCAGTAAGCTTAAATACCTCGGAAGTCTTCTTCAGCTTTTTCAGTCCTTTCGGAAAGAATTATCACAATACATATGATGAGCTATGAAACAGGTCTACCCTTAGACCCAGGAATCTTTCTCTTCTAATTTCTTTCTAAGAAAGCAATCTAATGGAATGGGAAAAAAATGTCATATGCATGTAAAGAGCCTCACTCCAATATTACCTATTTTAGAAAGCTAAACACTAGAACAGCTCTACAAATGCATGATCTCATAAAGCATGGCACATTAATCTGATAGAAAATGATGAAGCTATTTAACACAATTAATATAAACAGCATATAAAAATATGAAAATTGACTGATACAGTCTGAAAGATTATAAAAGAGAATTACAATTAAAATGAATTCCATTTACGAAAACTATTAATACTGGTTAGCGAATCATGGAAATATAAAATTTTCAAAATATGTGTCTCAAGGTAAGAAGATTGAGAGCAGTTTTTTTCCCTTTTGAAACGGAGTTGTTTCCTGTTAATACTGTTTTTGGAACTGGAAAAAAATAAGTTAGCCAAAGGGCAACAGATTGAGGCCATCTAATATTTTCTCTATCCCAATAAAACGCTGAGTTAAGATAATACAAAACCCGAAAGAAAATGTCAGGCTGAATGGGATTGCGAGATCATGAGAGGAGGCAGTTCAGAACACTGGAAAGGTCAAGATCTTTGGAGCCAGACAGGCCTGGGCACCTTTCGGCAGCAAATTGCATGATCACGGAAAGCCTCAGTTATCTCATCTACAAAACCGGGAAAACAAAGTCAACATTTCAAATTTGTTATAAGCTTTTGAAAAAACATACATGTTATGTTATATTGTACTATAGATGTAAAATGCTATGTTACATTGTTTCATCTAATGAACTTAGTAAGGCCATATTTTTGGAGGGCGTGTGTAAAAAGAAAGAGGCAAAGCATGGGGATGAGGAAGGAAAAGTAGATCAGAAGACATAACAATGATATAAATTAACGCCCACAAATATATTGACGCAATTAGGAAGCTAAATGCTCACTGAACGAGAGATGCAGATACAAAATAAAAGACAAAGTAAAAAATCCTGTAATGTTAAGTTTAAATATGAAACATCATTATGAGCTTTTGATTTGTAAAGTGAGCCTAGAACATCGTATTTGCCAAAAGCAAGGAGCACGCACTCGAAGGCTAAGGGTACAGGAGCCAGCTTGAAGGGACACCCACTGACCACACAGGGACAACGTTAGCATCTACGGGGATAACAGTAATAAATACATTGAATTTAACATAAATAACCCCCTGACTTTATAGTGATGTAAAAGGTTAAGAGATAAAGAAACGGGAATGGAGGTAAGAAAGCTTTTCTTTACCAAAGAATGGCAGACAATAAATAGAGAAGATAGGCTTTTAAAAAGCACCCATTTTCAAATCCCAGTGTAATGGCTGATTCAGGAAAGTATCATCATCGATATGAAAACTATTGGGTGAAAGGTTGCTGGGAAACAGGATACCCACACATTCTCAAAGCATTCTATCTACTAATGACAAAACAAAGTGGTCCCTCTACAATGAACTGTCTAGCAGACACCACCTTAACCAAGTGATCAAACTCAGCATCATCCAGGCTCGGGCAACATGCTTCCTGAGAAGCTGCAACAGGCAGTACAGAATCTTTCCTAACCTGCACCCCCAAATTTAACATGAATCCTGGCAGGCAGGAAGAAACAATCAGACAAGTCCAGAATGTGGGACCTTCAACAAAAGAACTGGGCCTGGATTTTGAAAGTCAATGTCATAAGAAAACAATGAAAGACAAGGGTCTGTGCTAGATTAAAAGAGATATAACAGCTAAATGTAATACAAAAACCTTGACTGGATCCTGGATTTAAAAAGAAAAGGCAATGAGGCATCTGAAGTGGGGGTAGGTAGAGAGATCTGATATATTTGAATATGGACTGGATATTAGATGATATCTAACATGACTTAATTCTCCTAAATATGACAATGGTACAGCGGTTATGTAGGAGAATGTTGTTATTCTTAGAAGATAAATGCTTAAGTCTCACAATGCCTGCAATTTACAGTTAAGTAGTCCAGCCACAAAAGGAAATTATGTGTGTGCGTGTTTGTGTGTAGAAAGTGTGTATGTAAAAAGAGAGCACGAAGGTAGGAAAAAATGTTAACAAATTAGTCAATCTATGTGAAGGGCATATACTGGGTGATCACTGTATTCTTCTTTCAATGTTTCTGCAGTTAAAAAAATGTTATACTATCAGGTAAGAAAAAAGTTTGATCTTAAACATTGAGTCAGATCATTTATATTGCACATGAACTCTGTCACCCTTCCTCTGAATCATGAGCACAGAGGATGTGGAAGCAACCAAATTTTCTCAAAAAAAAAAAAAAACAATCTTTGCTAGAAAAGTCTATGTTCCATCTAGCTTTTGCTTCAATGTACTAGTATGAAATATACCTCCCTCTCTCCCTGCACCACTCCAGAGAAGCCCTGAGAGGGAACGAAGGCTACTCACACATGACATTATTCTCCTACCAAGCAAAGCCCCTGCCTTGGGGTGGAGACAGAAAACAGAAGGAACCCAAATAACTGCTGCTGAAACAAAGAGAGATGGCATAATCCAGCAATCCTCCAGGATATTACAGGAAGTGTAACTGCCAATTCCCTCCCCATTCCCTTCCACTCTGCAAGACCTTCCTTTTAGAGGGGGGTTATTTCCATGCAAGATGGGAGAGCAGGTGCATAAATAAGAAAAGGGAAGTGCTGGTGGTAACTGAGAGCATGCACAGTACATCAAGGGGTGGTACCTCAAACTGATGAATATGGGAGAAGACACGTGACAAATGGAGAAAGCTCGGAGCTAGAGAATACCACCCCAGAAGAGCTGGTAACTGCAGTCTGTCAAAGTGGGGGCTGGCAACAACGAGGACAGAAAGCTGGGTCTACTACAGTTGCTGTAACAAAGGCTGGTTCCTGTAGGCTATACTTGGCTACCAGGGGACATTGGGGTTCGTATTAGCCCAAAGCTTGGAGCCCAACATTCTATACTTCATGACAAAAGCCAGCGGCAATCTCACACAGCTTGGGAAAGACTCATTTTTAAAATGTAAACAGAGAAGACTGGGAGGGGAAAAAATCCAAAGGCATTTTGCAAAATGTCCCATTTAAGCTTAATGGTTCAGTCTCTGTCTTCCGGCTTGGGCAGAACACCATTCATAGGGATTTAGAATCATATTATCCTGCCTATTACTCTAACATTTAATCACATGTTAGATTTAAAAGTTATTTGAGCAGAGAAACATTACAGAAAAGTTATGTTCTTAGAGCTATGTTGTACATTGGCTCACAATTTTTACAGTTGCCTTGAAAAATACCAATATACATACAAACACTCAGGTATATCTTCATACCACTCATCAACTACAATTGCTCTATGAAACTATAAATAGTTCTTTAAACAATGTCAAAAAATACACACATAGAATCTCAATGTGAGAAGAACACTGAAGGAAATGTTAAAGGTATTATTTCTAAAATAATGTATTAATTACAATAGGTAGACAACATACTCTTAAGAGATGGGAAGGTATATAGTGGCTTTATATTTATATTAAATCAACAGACAGCTGTTTCAAACAAAAAAATTAAATGAGATAATTAAAAATAAACATACCCATCTTTGGTCTGATCCACCACACCACTTAAAAGCTCCACGGTCTTCGGGTTAGGCTGGCTTTCTCCAAAAAGGTTCAAATATCGAGTGACGAAGTCACTGGGAGACATGAAAAATTCACCATTTTTTTCAATGCTTGCATACTGTTTAAAAAAAGAGAAGATTTTATTCTCAAAAATTATCTCATCATAAGATTAATAACTGAAAAAGCTGAACATATTCAAAGGATAAAATATCAGATATGATAACATTCTCTTCACAAAGGCAGTTATTTCCCATCACTTCAAACAAAAAGCAAAAACATAAGTTTGCCAAGTTTGACATTTATACCCGTGCGTCTCAACTGGGGACAGCTTAGCCTCACTGTCCAGCTTACAAACACCATCCCCTAAGAGCCAAGAGCATTCTAATGAGAATGAGCCGTCTCTCTATAGAACCTGCTTTTCTGGGGTGGAGTTCCCTAAGGCTGAGCTTCCTCCACTTGTGTTTATCTTGCCCACAAGGGATAGCTGGCAGTGTCTGATGGCAATTTTGATTATCATAACTTGGGGGGCAAGGATGCTACTAGCATCTAGTTGGTAGAGGCCAGGGATGCTGCTAAACATCGTACAACGCACAGAATTCGCCCTACAACAGAGTGATTTGGCCCACAATATCAATAGTGCTGAGGCTGAGCAGCTCTGGTTTACAGAAATTTGGAAAGACAACTTATGTCTTGTTCTTTGGCAATGACATAGAGCTTTTATTAAAAAGTAGCATTAATTATGAAGTCATGGATAAAAACAACCTAATTCTTTTTTTGCCCATTCCTGCTTCAAGGGCATCGATGATATTAAGAAAGGATGACAAACAGGCTGAGTCGGAAAATAAACTACTAACTGCATGGCTTCTGGTGGGATTTTATGAAAGCAGGTATGAAATGCTGCTCTAATTAGCGTCCTCTCAACTTTAGAGCAGAAATGGTCAATAAGAATTAGGCGGCATACCTAATTTCACAGCATTCCCCTAAGTCTTGCCTTTAGTGTGATACACTCCAGCTCACATAGGTGGGAACCTCCTAATTCCTGCTCCATGGAACCCCAGGGGCTGTGGGAAATGCTTAGAAACAACTTGGGGACAGAACAGTGATTTGGGGAGATGGGAGTGGGCAGGGGGTGAGGACAATGAGCGACACAAAGACAGGCATAGACGAGTGACAGAAACCAAACAGGTGGCAAAACGGTAGCCCCAGTGACTGAGCAGCACAATGAAGTGAGGTACATGATAGCATCTCCACTCCCTCTGTAACCCCAGAGGTAAGCCCAATTAAAACTGCTTTAAAAAGTCACTTGTTATTTCTACATTTTAATTCCCATGACGAATAAGCTCTTGCTTAGATGCTCAGTAACAAGCTTTGGAGTCCCTCAGGCCTAGGCTGCACGGGGCTCTGCTGCTGCTTCTTATTAGATGTATGACATCAGGTGAGTAACTAATACTTTCTGGGCCTCTGGCTCCTCACCTGTAAAATGGGGATAACAAAATTACCTGCTTCAAAAGGTTGATGCTAGAAATAAAGCAATAATCATGTAATATATTTAGCATTGCCCTACACGCAATAAGCAATTTATAAATGTTCTGTTATTACTGGGTTTTATTTAACATTTTTGTAGCATAATACAAAAGAAAAGCTCAAAGATGGCCCAATAATCCTACTATTCTTCAATGAGCATTGAATTCGGCTTTTTGGAAATGTAGAAGAATTCTATTTTGATCTTCCTAACTGAGGCAAAAGCAAGACTGAACATAAAGAAATGTCACTGTTAATTACAGTAATGCTATGATTTAGAATTACTC